GCAACACTTGGTGAGGACTTCGCTCCAAATATATGGACGAGCATCTGATGCGTCTTAGCCGCCTTCGAGATGTCACCATCGGGCCACCAAAGATAACACAGTGCTCCGCGATGCTCAGGTTTAACATAGACCTGATGAAACATTCTCTTCACGTCAGCGGTTACGGCTATATTATCAACTCTGAATCTCAGTATCACGCCAATGAGGGAACTAGTGTTTTCTGGCCCACGCAACAGTTCATCGTTCAACGAAGTTCCGTTGCTCTTGCTAGCACAATCGAAAACTACTCTAGGTTCCTCAGGCTTCCTTGGGTGCCAGACTGCGTGATGAGGGAGGTACCATAATTGTTTGAGCATTGTTAATTCCTCCTCGGGGACTTCTCTCGCCGCTCCTTCTTCTTGGTATTTCGCCATAACGCTGCTGTATTTCTTACGGAAGTTTTCGTTTCTCTCCATCTTCGATTTTAAGGATTCTAATCGCTTCTCAGCTGTGTAAAGACTATCTGGGAGTTGTGGTGGGTTGTGTTTAAAGGGAAGTCCGATCTCGTAATGCTCATTTTTCAATACGGTGGTTTTGTTCATGATTTCTTCTGCGTAGCGATCTTCAACGGACATGTTCTCATCAATATCGTCATTGATGTCATCAAACTCTGCGTTGTACATACGCTCTAATTTATGGTCGAGAATGTCGAATTCTGACCTAACGGAATTAATGGACACTTGCTCGCATCGAGGTTCTCCCATTGGACCATACACTGTCCATCCTAGAGGTGTCTTAACTGCACATGGTTGCCCTTTTGTTCCATCTCTTCGGTCGAGAAAATTATCAATTATATCAGGTCGATCACTTCCTATCAAAATGGTAACCTGTTCATCTCCAGTTTCGGGTAAGACAATGTCCTGCAGATGAGGCCACTCTTGAACTTCTTTGTTGGTCGCTACGTGTCTCGGAGTCACTGGTAAGCTGTCTGTGGTTAGTACACCTTCAAGCTGGAACTTTTCACTGCTCGATACCGATTCGATGTCCAACCGTACCTCATAGCCTGCCTTCTGTTGTTGCGAGTTCACTGTCGTCATAGTGTATTTAGCCGGTTTCGCATCAATCACTGATAGATCTTCAACTAAACTTTCCAGACAAAGAGTCGTATCGGATCCACTGTCTAAAAATGCGTACGTAACAAGTTCCTTGTCACTGGTAGGGTTGCTCACCTTGACCGGTACTACCTTAAAACAAACCCGTGGTCGACTTGCTTTGACTGCGCTAATGTTGACTCGCTCTTTTGACGTTCCGGCTGTCGTTGGTGTAGACATATGTAGATTTACCTGATTCTGTCTATCATCGGCTGTAATACTTTGGGTGCCAGCATCCTTCTTTAAACCGTCGTGACTTTGCATCTCGTTATCTTGATTGGTGGAGTGTTCCCCTTTAGCGTCTTGATCATCATGGATTAGATAATGGTGATGTTTTCCGCATCCGGCTACACGGCAGGTGAATCCACTTTTGCATGACCTCGCAAAATGGCCTTCGCCGAGACATATTCTGCAAAGTTTGTGTTGTTTCACAGTTCTCAGACGATCCTTTAAGGTGCATGACTTGAATACTTGGCACCTCCAGACACCGTGTGGTCCAGAGCACTGGGGGCACTTACGACCAGTTCTTACAGGTGTATCTTCCTTATTCAAACCACCCTGAATTGCGTTTGCGTTAACTCTCCTTTGCTGCTCGAATCTTGACCTGTTCTGAAATTTCTTGTCTTCACTGGCTTGCTTAAGCTCTCTCCCATACCTGTTGTTTATACGCCCTGCCACTTTCTTCAAGAAATTTACAAAGTCATCGAATTGTACATAGTCTTTGCTCTTGATAAGGTCTCCAGCTCTGTCCACCCACTTCCTCTTTAAGCCATCTTCGGGGAGTTTCCTCATCAACATAACTATTACATCTTCATTGTCTAACCGATTGGAGTAGCTGGATCCCATGCTCTTTAATGCTCTCTCAGAATCTTCTAGGTGACGCACAAACTCCATCAAGGCATTCGCATCAGTTTTTCTAATTTGAAGTTCTCTGAGCTTTTTCATATGAGCTTCTACTATAATGTGAGGCTGGCCAAAGTTCTCAAGAAGACAACTCTTTGCTTCCTTATATCTCTGGCCGACATCAAGGTTGACGCAACTTCGGATTGCATCCTTCGCTTTGCCGACACACTGCGCTAACAGGCGAGTGAACCGCTGGGAGTCATCAGAAACTTGGGATTCTATGTTATCTTTAAAGTTTGTCACAAACTCTACATATTCCAGGGGGTCACCACCGAATCTCATGAGCTCTATTTTGGGTAAAGAAGGGCCTTCCTTTATGGCCTGTGCTATGGAGTTCCATACATCTAGCTGCGGTTGGGGTGGCGGCGCTGGTTCTTCTTGCAAGGTATTTGTGGCTTCGTGATTAGCATTTGGATAAAATTCATTCCTCGTGACATCTAGTCCTACTTTGGGAATATCGAATCTGTCCGACTCAGTTGTCGCTAGGTTGGGTACATCCGGTCTGGGTTCAGGGCTAGGATGGTTATGGAGCAATGGTGCAGGTGGTTGTACCTGTGCTGCTGGAGAATGAGGGGTTGGTGGGTGCTCAGGGACAAATTTAGGTTGACTGGGGTAGGTAATTTCAGATTTTTCAGGGCAAGTTGGACCTTGAAAGTCTCGTAGGTATTCATTCATACCATCGACACCTTCGTCATCTGGAATCTGATCAATAACAAAATCAATCTTTGCCTGCTTTAGCTCTGCTTCAGCATTCAGTAATTTAATCTTCCTGGAAAGCTCCGTCTTACTTTGCTCAGCTACTTCAAGTTGGCGCTCTAGCTCCTGTTTCTCCTTTAAGGTCTGCATTTTCAACTTTGCCTCTTCCATAACCTTCCTTCTTTCTTTCACACTGCTTCTACTAGATGTTCGACTACTTCTGCTTTTACGAGATGCCAAACTATATCCAGATTCTGATGGGGGCTTTAGATATCTTTCTCGATTGGTTTGCCACAGATCTACCATGTAATCTAGTTGTAGTTTGACATCGCGTTGATCATTATAATTGTCAGTCATTAAGTCTTTCTTCTCTATGTCATCTTCATGCTGCATATAATTCTCGTGACTAATAACAAATTTATGAAATGTTTGTTCATACCTGTCCCTTCTTGCATTTACCTCTTCTGGTTTTGTTTCGAAATCCTTTGTTAGATGCTGTAACATGCTAAGTTCCCTTCGAAATTCTTCCATACATATAGATCTTTCATGTTTTGCATTAACCGCCATTTCAAACCTTAGTTCTTTATCATGTGTTAATTCATCATCATAGTTCCTTTGTCTTGGCTCGCTGCTATCTGATTCTTCTCGAATTTCTACTACGTCGGCTTCATTGGTACCTACGATCACCGTCTCTGTATTTAATAATGGTCCTTTAACCTTTTCACCACTATCCTTATCAATACAGGCCTTTGGTGTTTCCACTTTAGATTCCAATACTTCCGTAGCGTTGACATCTTCATTGACTACAACATGCTGCTTTGTTGCCTCTGTAGCTTTAGCCTTCTTAGGTGGCATCGTGTCTAGCTATTCTCATAAAATAACTTCGAATGATGTAAACTTCAATTCTCGCAAATTTGTCTTTTCACAATACTTTTATTCAGCACTGACGACTGCACTAGTCAGCACTAGATTCGCTAGAAATATGTCACATTGTTAGTTAGTTTACTCAAAAATTAGTGTGTGTAAAGATACTTAACGATCCTAGAAACAGGATTACTTACAAGTTATTGTGAGGTATCTTTCCTTTATAATCAACAATACAAATATATAACACAGTGATAATACCAAACTCGATAAAAGATAAAACTCGTCACAATGTTTTCGCGCCCTTTTCTCCTGCGCCCGCAAGCAATGTACTTCATGTAACAGTTCGTACAGAGTATATGACGATATGGTAACTTTTTGTATAAAATTCCCTGTTTTCCCGCCATGACAGTATACAAGAACTGCCAGGCGCTCCCCAGCACGCACCCTTCCCAACAGCCCCTTCGCGCGTCGGATGCCTACCTGAATACTTCATGTAAGCGCCTGGGTACGAGGCAGCAACTCACTGGACTCAGTACTCCGCCATCTTGTTTTTAAATTATTATGTACTTCATGTAGTTAAAATAGCGCGTTGGAACTTCATGTAACCGTCAACTTAGTGTCTCACTACCCAGGGAATTTTAAAATAATTCCACTCGGTTTTTGAGTTCATCAATTCGCCTTTCTTTATCTTGTTCATCTTCACACTCTCCGATATCTGTCTTAACATCGCATCATTGCCATACCTCCCAGTCACATTCATCTGAAATGTTTGGACCTCACCATCATGCTTTTCCTTACAATGTTTCCATAGAGTAGATTGTTCCTTTTTCCTTTCATACATCTTGACATGTTCCCCTCCTCTGACATACGCAATTCTTGACGTTTCAAACAGAGTTCAGAAATGAAATAATTACACATGAAAAAAAGTGTTTCATTATTTAAGTCTTATCTTTAAGTTTCTTATAATAGCTAAAAGTAACAAAACCATATAAATTTTACATAAGTAATATTTTATAAAGCAATAATTTGAGCCTTGAACTTACCTTCTGATGGTTTATATCCGTGTCCATATTTGTTTACATTAGAATGTCCCTCCCCCCGCATTACGGGTGGTCCCAATAGATTTACTGCTGTTTTCACCCCCTCTCTCCTTTCGGCCTGATCTTCCCATAAAGGCGCGTTAGATTTTAAGTTATGTGGCACTTACACAAGACCTATCAGCCCAAAGCATTTTTTAATATTATGGACTGGTTGGGCATTTGCCCCACTGGGCCCCTTCTTCTGTCCTACCACCGAAGAAAAAAATGGTCTATTGCCCCAAAGCCAGGGCCGTAGGACCTGTATTGAGTATTTGAGTTTAACATTGAAAAGAAGTTTAAAAAACAAAATTTGTTGGTGAGCATACTTAAACTTAGGGGCCGACCATTTAACTTTTGAGAGGGGGGGGGTGATTTTGAAAAAAATTTCCTGCAAGGCTATTCCGAACAAAAAAACTGATACCTGGACTAACAAACTGTGGAAAAAATATCCTGCCCCAGTATTTGGTGGGGAAAAAATGTTGCAAAACAGCATGGTTGCAGGGATCGATTTTACCAGTCCGAGAAGATCAGCTGGTTTGATTTTCAGGGACTAGTGTAAGGTTAATTTCTTGTTGGAAAACTCCTCAAAATGCTGGAAATAGCTTACCTGAGCTTCAAAAAATCCAAAATTTTCTGGAGGGGGGGGGGGACATGCCCCCAGACCCCTCTAGAGGCTCGCACCTTCGGTGGTCAGTTGTCTCAGAGTCCTAGTAGTAAGCATGGCCTGAGCTGCTGCCCTATGACGTATACTTATTGGTTAAACCATGCATATATATGCTGTAGGTAGCTGCAGTGATACAGACAAGGCTGTAGCGAGGGGGTATTGGGGGGTGGTTAACCCCCCAACTTTTTTAGAATCAACATATTCAGAAAATCGGGTTGGCCATTCGGAAAATTACGGCAATAATAGTAGAACAAAATTTTAGTTGTTAAACAGAGAAAATATTATAAAATTGTATTGTCTATGAGGCGCCGTGTGTTGCAAAATTCATACTTTTCTTTAACACACTATTGAAAGTTTACGGCACATATTAGAATAGAAAACATTGTTTCACAACATGTGAAATACATACAGTCTATGCTGAAACCAGTGAAACGTACACATATTGTACTGAAATGCTCAAAGTATGCACTGAAAATAACTCTTAATACGGGTACTCAGTAAACTTTATGTGCAAAATCTCAGTATACTTTATGTGCAAATTCTCATTATACTTTATGTTCAAATTCTCGGTATACTTTATGCGCAAAATCTCAGTATACATTATGTGCAAATTCTCAGTAAACTTTATACATGTGCAAAATCTCAGTATATTTTATGTGCAAATTCGCAGTATACTTTATGTGCAAAATCTCAGTATACTTTATGTGCAAATTCTCAGTAGACTTTATGTGCAAAATCTCAGTATACTTTATGTGCAAAATCTCAGTATACCTTATGTGCAAAATCTCAGTATACCTTATGTGCAAAATCTCAGTATACTTTATGTGCAAATTCTCAGTATACTTTATGTGCAAAATCTCAGTATACCTTATGTGCAAAATCTCAGTATACTTTATGTGCAAATTCTCAGTGTACTTTATGTGCAAAATCTCAGTATATACCTTATGTGCAAAATCTCAGTATACTTTATTTGCAAAATCTCAGTATACTTTATGTGCAAAATTTATTCTTTGCCGTATTATATTATTTTGAACTAATAGAGTTCAAAACAAAGGTCGAAGCGACATGTAAGGAAAATAGGAGGGTCTGGAGTCCTCCCCCAGAAAACTTTTATATTTTTGATGCTCAATTAATGACAGCAATTCTGGAATTTTCTGGAGCACCCACAAGGGTAACGAGTAATTTTATAAGAATAAGCGGTCAAAATACGACAGGGTGACGATCGACGTTATCTATAGTGGATGTGTGGGTACAGGTGATAGCGTCGATTCAACGTTATGCGTGGCAAAATGAATATGGACGTGGCCCCTCTATGCGTGGCCCCTTATTGTTACCACAGAATGTAACCAAAACGGGTAGCCTGTTGCCGTCAGCTTACATCTGCTCCAAGTCTCCTGTTTATATGAAAGCCGGGCTGGCCCGCCTGTAAGCGGAATGAATTTTAATTGTGTTTATATGAAAGCCGGGCTGGCCCGCGGGTAAGCGGAATGAATTTTAATTGTGTTTATATGAGAAACGTTCATCATCCTGCTTGCCCGGGACATTTTGTTATTTTGATATTTATTGTTTTGTCAGCAAGTTAAAAATAGCTTGCGGCTGTATCTTTGAACTTTCATTCCGGGCTAGGCCGCCTGTATGTAACCCGCTTGTGAGTGTTTACTAATGGCAATTTTCTATCCCGGTAAGCAGGATCTCCCCTCTTGCAAGCGAGATTTCTGCAACCGCCCTGGCCATCCCGCTTGTCCCGTGAACACACAGTAATTTTTACTATAAAAATTACTACTCGTACAACGAAATCTCGCTTACCAGGCTGTCTCGCTTAGCCAAACTGATAGCTCGGGTACGCCAGCCCTGACGACGATTCCGTTTCGGGAACACTCAGGGCTGGAGCTACGGGGTGTGGGAGTGTGATCCCCCCCCCCCAGAAATTATTCGAAGCTTCAGTCGGCAGGACTGCTATTCTAGTTGGCAGACAAAAATATTTTTGACGAATAAAAGCACTACCAATATCATTTTCACCTGCTATACAAGAAAGGGAAATCATGGTTACTCAAAATTTATTTAGCAGGATATAATCATTATAATTCGTTAGTAAAACAAGCCCAGATTGATAGTTGAACCATATAGCGATGCAAAAGATCTTAAATGAAGTATATGTGGTATGTTTGATAGGTAGAACCGCTGAACACAATACATTCCCGCCATAAACTCGATTATCAAATATGGCGATTTTATAGAACGGGCGTAATTTCAGGGACCGCGGAGCAGGGAGAAGGCCCCCAATAATTTTCCATACCTATGTGACTTTTATAAACTAAAAATACTGAAATCTTTCAGGTCAGTTAACAATATATTTATAACTTACATAGCCAAGTATATATTAGTCGTCTATTAAGAAACTTTTTAACAGCAACTAGTAGATTTGATTGAATTTCCGCGGGTCTGGGAGGTCTCAGATTTCAAAATTTCCCCGGGCAGCATGCACCCGGACCCTCATAATAAATTCACGCCTTCGGCGTTCGCTATAGCCCCCTTAATCCAAAAATGGCTTCGCGCCCGGTCCCTGAATTTAGTTGAATTGCATCGGAAATTTTACAAGCTTCCATGTAGCGCATCTAGTCGGTACAAGCTCGTTCGTCAGTCGGTTCAAATGACCTTACACCCCCCTGAATAATTTTCTAAAGACGGCCTGGAAACACTGTATAAGTCCACGGTAATGGCCAGTCGATGAACTACAATGCCCGATTTATTCTTTGATTTACATGAAGTTGCACCGAGAATTTGCACATAAAGTAGGCATATACTAAAACCCGAAACAACCGGAACGAAACCAGCGGAACGACCAGGGACGCCGGAGCGAGGGTAGGGCACAGGGGGGCAATGTTGACGTAAGGGCAATCACTAATTAATATTTCGTTTCCGAAAAATTTTTCCGGAACCTTAATTCACCAAAACAAGGGCAAAGTATTTTCCAGAACCTTAATTCACAAAACAAGGGCAAAAAAATTTGAAAGTTAACCTAATTTTTTACTAATTCTCCAGAAATTTCACCTATATTTCAATATTACGTCCATTTCACGCGTAATTCATACTTTTTAATCAGGGCGCTTATATAGAGGGCGGTGAAACGCGCTGATGTCGTGCTGATCGATGTGTGATGCGGAAAAGGACTGGCACGAGCGTGCTTTTCGGCAAAAGTTGACAAGGAGCGTGATTTTTCCTGCTGTTGTATTTTTGCTGTTTTTTCCATTAACTACGAAATTCTTGAGGATGTTTTTGCACTGTAACGACGAAGTAGTAACTAGTGTATCGTACGAATGCTTGTTTGGCCTGTATAGTTGAATTTTGAAAGAAATATTGAGGATAATGAGTCGGCTTTTGATGACTTCAATGAAGGGAAATTTTCAAAACAGCATTTGGGCATGTTTGAAGTAAATTGCACAATGTCGGAAATTTAGTCCTCTGGGAACTTTGCCCGGGGTGATGTAATTCCGGGGACGAATGTAACGAACACGTTGTTGATCGAAAAACCTTAGCGAAGCGTGAACTACATATCAGATTATACTTGTAAATTTATTTTTGTTTTATTATATATTTTTTTAATTTGGTGATTGTGTTGTGAAGACCCGTTTCCAACATAAGTGGCGTCCCCGGGTGGGCAGAAATCAGCTCACAAATCATGGAATCAATCGAAAATTTGAGCAAGAATATCGAGACGAAACTCAGGCTCATTAAGTTCACGCAAGAACAAGCAGAGAAATCAGTCGAAACAAACAATGTTTTAGCCATGGAGAGACAGATTAAGACCTTAACAATGAAGGTAGGCGAAGTTCATGATATTAAAGTTAAAATTCAAGAGTTAAAAATCGAAAACGGTGAAAATATCGAAGATATACAGACATGGAATGCAGCGTTGGAAGATAAATTATTCGCCATCGAAGCACAAATTGCTGACCTCGACAATTCCTTAAAACGGATCGGTCAAAAGGCGATCGAAGCTGAGAAACTTAGGAAGAAATGGCAGCGCAATCTCGACAAAGGAAGTTCGAAGATGAACTAAAACTTGAAAAAGCTAAGCTAGAACAGCGAATGAGATATGAAAAGAAGCTAGAAGAGAGTCGAAGTGTCTCAACCCCAAATCGACCAAATACAACCAAGTTACCTAAGCTGGTGATTTCCAAATTCAACGGTAACTGCACAGACTGGACAAGATTTTGGGAACAATACGAAGCAGGAATCGGTGCAACTGACATTTCAAATGTTACAAAATTTTCATACTTGAAGGAACTATTAGAACCTAAGGTACGAGCATTAGTTGATGGATTACCGCTGACCACAGAGGGTTTTGAGAGAGCGAAGAACATTCTGAAAACTAAGTACGGTAAAGAAAGCGAAATTGTTAATGCATATATCAGCAACATTATGGCGCTTGAACCAGTTCATGGAACAAATCCAAACAAGATTTCTATTTTCTATGAAAAATTACTAGCAAATGTACAAGCATTGGAGACTTTGGGTCGAATCGGAGAAGTGAATGGGTATGTGCGCATCTGCCTCCTCCACAGGCTCCTCTATGTAGATCAAATTTAACTGAGATCAACGTATTTAAATATCAGTAAAATATAGTTCAGCGCGTGCACTGCAAGCCCGATAAAGGCGCACGCCCGCAACTAAGGACGAGCGCGCAAAGGAAAATGGGAAGGCGAAAAATTGGGAAGGGGGAGCCTGCCAAATCCTGTGTCGAAACTGTGCAAATGTGATCGAAACTGTGCAAATGTGATCGAAACTACGAAAATAGGGGATTTTTAAGGCGATGGAGGAGTCACTTGACGACAGTGGGCCGCTAATGAGTTTAGAAGACTTCCAGTTTGATGATAGTGATGATTTAGATGCTTCTTTCAGCAATTTGTCAATAGCAGGTGAGTGCTTTTTATTTAATAAATATAGTCATTGTGATAGTATTCAAATTAGTTTCTACAATTTATGCTATAAAACGTAAATATAATAAGTATCTGTCAGAGTGAACGTATATTCATATCCTCAGATGATGAACCAAGAGCGAGTACACCGAATACCGACCTTTTCCCGAATCAAATTGCATCTCCAACAGATAGTCCCATTGGAGGAAAGCATCATTTGACTCCTTCCTCAAAAGAAGGTGGGATGCCAAAACCAAAGCGATTTGCAATAGGTAAGTTAGATTATAAGTTCATTGTAGGTATTGTAAAGCCTTTACTTTTATATAAAGATGCAGTACAATCTGTATGTAAACAATGGCTTTGTTTACATTTCGGTATCCAAAATATTGAATTTTATTCGACAACTATTCATTATATTTTCATGATTCTAGACTATAATAAATTATGAAGACACAACAATCAAGCTTTGCAAGAACATAAAATGAAATAAAAACCTAAATAAAGAGGGCTCCTTTGTGCACATGGGGCAGATCGGACTGTACCACATCTTTAAACCTATGAAGTAACCTCTTCTGAAAATTCATAGTTTTTGGTTGAAAACTAGAATTAAATATATAAATATATACTAGAAGTAAATATACTAGAATTACAAATTGTAAGTGAATATATTATATATAGGGTCAACTTTAACCCACTGAGTCGCATTGCACCCTGATGCACTCTGTCTAACGCCAGATGATTTTACACGTCAAGGGGAGAGCGCTGGCACTTAATGGGTTAACTGGCCTATCTGCCCATGTGTCTAGTTAACCCATTGAGTCGCATTGCACCCTGATGCACCCTACTTTAGTATTTTACTCTGTCTAATGCCAGACGAATTTACTCGTCAAGGGGAGAGCGCTGGCGCTTAATGGGTTAATAATATAACCATTTAATAATTGGTTATAAACATGACTGATGACTATTTTATAGTAATCCTATATAAAATTTCTATACAGGAGGAAAACCAAGTGGAAGAGAAGTTGCAGAACGGAAGGCAAACCTGGAATTGCTTCTAAAGAAGGGGTTCATATTGCAAGAAGGGCAAGAATTGAGTATTGACTGTGTGGCAGCATATGTTGGTTTCGAGCGAGGAAAGACATTTCGCTTGACTCTTGCTGTGAAAAATGCTTTCCCAGGTGTTTATATGAAAAGGGTCAACAAGGATGGAAATAAACAGTATCCTTACATTGCTTCTATTTCTGCCTCATATAATTATATATTTCTGATGTTTTAATATGTATGTCACCTCATCATATTAAGAGGTTGATATTAATTAAGGTCATTTGGGAGAAATTAGATTAGAAAAATTTTATTTTTTCAAAGAGAGTGCAATTACTCATTCGGTTATGTATGCATGGATGGTCATTAATTAAATGTATATCCAACTATACTGACACTGATATTTTACATTACTCAGTGTTATTTCATTCTTTGATCATGAACACATTACGGTTGGGCAGAATACAATGGCATTTTATGAAATTTTTTTTATGTATTTCCTTTAACTGTGTTTATAACATATTATGTTAACTTGGCACGGAAATTCACAACATCTGAATTTTTATCTCACGATGGTCGTGGTTATTTAAATGGTAATTTTTTTATATTTCTTTTTTTTATATATATTTCTGCAATGTTTTAAGTTCCTCTATTATTGGTATGTGGGGAAGTTTATAATTATACACTTTGGTTGTATGTAAATTGGTACTCAGTTGAACAGAGCTGCTATACGGTGTATGAATGTAACATATATTATGAGTAATACCATGCATTTCAACACAAAAAAACCTGATTTGACACCCACCCTCTCCAAATTTCTTTATATTTTGCAGGCAGTTAACATTATGTGGGAATAGTTTAAATCCAAAATTTGAGCATCATAGCTCAATAATCTTATTGTGCAACTTTTGAAATATCCACATACAAATACATCCTTGCGCAGATTTTTATTGGTATACCATATACGGATATCAGAAATTACAAGTCAAAATGTTTGGGTTTTTTTAATTGTGATATATCTAAAAAATTATTGCAGCTATGATGCTCAAATTTGAACTTAAACTTTTCCCACACAATGTAACTGCCTGCAAAATATAAAGAAATTTGTAGAGGGTGGGTGTCATGCCTGTTTTGAAATGGCATGAAATTACCCTTAAGGCCCATCTACACGATACGACTAGTCGAATACGATTCTTATTCTGGCGTATGAAAACGATTGCTGATGCCACTATTCCTGTTCATCAGTTTATGGCGAAGTTTGAAATGTGACATCTTTACATGCATTTATTCGAGTACATATGCCAGGATAAGGATCGTATACGACTAGTCGTATTGTGTAGATGGGCCTTCGGAGGTTTTACGTAATATTTCAAATCCGACTATGAGGACTGGACTAGATTTAAAGTCCAAGCAATTTGATCACGTCCGAGGCGAAGCCAAGGATTGGATCAAAATGTGAGGACTTGAAATCTAGTCCATCCGAATTGGAAGATTTGAAATGACATTTCATACGAATAAATCACTATTTAATTCATTTTGATCCAGTCGAAGGACTGACTTAATTTTGATCCAGTCCTAGGACTGGATCAATGTACTTAATCAGGTATCCAGTATTATCATTTGAGCAAAATAAAGCAATATGGTTAGCTAATTTACTCATGAATTATTAATGAGTTTGAGATATAACTATGAAATCAATATAGATAAATGGCATATACTTTGTGAAGTGAAACCTGCAAATTTATGGGTTAATTACCTTCTAGTTTCCCAAGTAGATTTGACTCATATCCTGCTTAGTTTTTAGTAAATAATATACCTATTCTTGGTATAATAAGGCCAGGAAATCAACAATTTTACTTTGTACTGTGTATTAACAGATGAGATGATTAACCTCTTACGAAATGTGCAAGCCTCTGAGGAAATTCTCAAACAAATTTGGTCGACAATTGTATCAACTAACAATGACGGAGGCGATGTCTCAACAATGCTCATGGACTATACACGTGAGAATCAGAAAAGAGAAAATCACATGAGTATACTTATAAAATTGTATGAAACCGAAATTATAAGATTAAATTCTGAGGATACAAAGAACCACTTATCTACACAACAGAAGTTAACCATTAAAGAAGAAATGAAAGTACTTGAGTGTGTCTGTGACAAGAATATACGCAGTACTGGCAATTCGTCACTTCATTCTCTAGAAAACATAAGTCCATCAATATTTATGGAAATTCTGGAAGAGATTAATGGAAAATGCCCTATGGTCCATGATATGATAGAAGCCCTGGTTATATCAAACAAAGTTAATCGAAATATCCTGAAAACTAATGCTCATAAAATGGTTTGTGGATTGCAAACTCTTGGCTTTATTAGCAACATAAGGAGCTCAAAAACAAGAAATTGCTTTCCGCTAATGTTTGGCCTGCTTTGTATATCCTATGGTGCTGGCAAGCAATTTGTTGACATGCTGCAATCAATGGGGCTCTCATTACATTGGGATACTATGTAAGTAAACTATATAAAATCATAATCACATTGGATCTGTTCTTAATTTTTCTGAGCATTTAAATCTAAAAATTATCTCCAAATCCGGGCCATTGCCTCATTCGTATGGATGGCCGGATATCTAACATGTTGTTTAGCAAAAAAATCGAGCTCAAAAGTATTTATAGGTACTTCATTCAACTGAATAATTTAATTGTCCTTGAAACTACATCCAAAGTTGTTTTTTGTACGTACAAATATATATTATCTAAAAGCAATGCATGTAGTGTTTGTAGCATGTTTGTATTCTTAGGGTGGTATAGCTAGAAATTTGAGGCAGTAACCATTTGTTCTAATTGGAAAAAATTGATTTGAAAATTGTCATGCAGGCACCCTTAGTAGACTTACAAAACCTGGGGGGAGTGGAGAATTTTTTGACATTTGCTTGTCTATATTGATAGTGTTTTCATATTTTAATTATAGCATGTCTTACTTGGACAAGAGGTTGAGCCAATTTCAAGATCTGATAGATGAATGTGCCCCAGTATCCAAACCAGTAATTTTACTGCTGGATAACATCAATTTATACCACGGAAATAGAAGACATCATCGCCTTTTCAAAACCCTGGGGCAAAATATGTGGAATTTTACTGTTCGTGGTTTGCTGATTCCTGATTTGTCTGGAATTGAAAACTTGTTTGCAAGCAAAGAAACAGCAGAGGAACAGCAGCGCCCTAGCGATGGCCTAACTGCTGATGACACTTTCATAGGTGAGTAAGGTGGTTTTGTCTCTTTCATGGATATCAATGTGTGTGAGCATGCCACTATTGTATTGTGGTAAACAGCATATATAACCATTGAGGAAATAAATTAACTCGCATATATCTCGTAAAAAAGCGTGAGCTGTTTCCATCGCCTTGTACCATGCAATCCAACTCGGTCTAATCGTGATTCGAGTGCCAGACGTTGATTTTTTGTTTCAAATGTCTCTAAACTAAAACCAAATATGGTAATTTTAAAACCCGTTCAAACGATGATGTTGCACAATGTTGGATGAAAGCTTTAAACAAAGTCAAACCCGATCCAACATTGCCCAACATAGTGTTCAAACAAGGCCAACAATGTTGCATCCAACAACGACTGTTGGATGATATTGGGTCAACAAGTTGGCTTTTAAAGTTTGTTCGTTCAGGGCAACCAGGGGCCGGTTGTATAAAAACGTAGTTACCGCTAACTGCAGTTAAAAAGTAGTTAAAAAACCTTCAAAAATAGTTAACTTTAATCATGTAGTTACGCCGGTTGTATAAAAGTGTAGTTAGCCTTAATAAACTGCAGTTAAAAAGTAGTTAAAGTTAACTATGCTTTAGGGTATAGTTAACTGTCCAAAACGTAGTTAAAAATGGCGTTTGTATAGGAGTGAACAACATTTTGTCAGTAAAACAATAATGGACAGCAACGCTTACCTGAGATTTTCAATCGCTATCTTCCCTGTGAATGTTTCCTGACAACATAAACTCTTCAAACGCTATCGCTTTGGTCTTTTACGAAAACAGAACATATTTTTGCACAGGACGATTTCTCGAAGACGAAGTATGGTCCATTACACCATGGATAATAAAATAAATTTTATTATCCATGATTACACCAAGAAACACTGATATATAATTGCCAAACAGCTAGACCTTGGTTTAACGTAGACATCTCAAGGAAAAACTGCATTCTTTTATGATTTTTGTGGCGGTTTTTCCTTGTTTTCTTGTTTATTTTTCACTGTTTTCTAGTGTTTTCAATAAAATTCCCGCCTATTTGCAAAATGCGAGTCCACAATCATGATGAAAATGTGTGTCAGCGGTCGTTACTCGCTGCTTACTTTATGTAATTTTGGGTTTAAACGCCCCACGCAAGCCCCACGCACAGTTAACTACGTGATTAGTTAACTATCCGACTAACTACGTTTTGTGCAACGCAGTTAAGTCATGTAGTTAACTAATTACAGTTAAGGATTTAACTACAGTGATTAACGCTAACTACAGTTAGCGTTAATTACGTTTTTATACAACCGGCCCCAGAGGTATATCAATCATGTTTCGCTCGCAATCATTGAGAAGACGTTTTGGGTAATCGTTTTCCCCTAAAACATCTAGTACATATTCACGTTCATTAGCTTGAGAATCACTGTTTGACGGTAAGGATTGCCGTCATCGAGCCTATATGCTTAATAATGCTTAATTCAATTCTAAATTAAAGTGTTCCTAAATTATCTATCAAAATAATCAAAATTTATGGGGTTTTACGTAGAAAATATGCATTTTTTTAATTAAACGTGTAGCAATGCAATATAAATACAAATGTTAATATTAATTTATAGAAACACATCCTGAGCACTTGCAAGTTTGGAAAGAATTTCAAGACAACTTTCTCCTGCAAGCCCTTAATACTTCTTTAAACTGCATTCCAAATCCTACCAAGTTTTACGGCATGAACGAGAAAGAGTTTGACCTGTGGTTGAAGAATCAGGATTTCTCAACAAACGAGAAACAAACCTTTGACATTAAAATGCCAAAGGGAAGCGTACAACTCGATCCACACTGCTCTAAGTCAGAAACATTAATCCTTCCACTCTCTCTTGAGAATAACGCGACTACTACTGGAACTGCAGCCATAATTGAGCAGTTTGGAAAGGAATTTGATGTGCCATGTGATCATGCTAAGGAGTACATGCCATATGATGATAACAGTAAGACCTTTGATATTGCAGCTGCGCGAAGTCATCACCAATTTCTTGCATCGTTGAGGGAGCATAAGAAGGAGATGGCGGACACTGTGCGTCAGTTGAAAGACGTTGAAAAGGTTTTTGAACCTGTTCCGGATGATTCAGACACGGAATTATCTGCAGGAAATGCGTCTTCCAACCAACAAAAGGTTGATGCGAAGTTCAAACAGGTGTATGACAATATCGTGAAGAAAATGTGGGAGGCACATCAATCAAATGATCCTGAGGAGTTTATTGGTTGGTTAGGTTCGCATGTAGACGATTGGAAACATGTTACAGACCATCATAAACGAACACTTCTTCATGCAGCTGTTGAACAGGAGAATATGCCATTAGTCAAAACCCTAATTTCAACGGGAGTAGACATAAATGCGAAGGAAATGTGTGGTGCAACACCACTCACCATTGCTGTCATAAAGAGGAACGAGGAAATAAGTTGTTATCTCTTGGAAAACTTTGCTATATTTGACAATCGATTTTTCAATACCATTCCTAACCCTCGAGATATGGCAGCAAAAATGGAAATGGAAGTCTTAAGTATAATGGATAATATTTCAAAACAGGATATGGCCACTGATGTGGACATATGGCAAAATATTGAGATGTCAGAGAAAAAAGAAAAGGATATACCCATGAATGAAGTTCAAGATCCAACTACAAATGAGGAAGCATACACATATTCAAGGAAAAACGACTCGTGTGTGACATTGTTTGTCGGCGATCAAGGCACCAACAAGGTTATGCGTGGTGTAAGAGGACGGTCGGAGACAGCATATGGTTGGTGTTCAGAAGTCCCTGGTGATTTGCATGCCAAAGGCTACCTTTACGAAGTATGCAAGAAAGTTATGGCACCTGGTGGATTCATGCATATTTTGCAAAAGGTCCTCTCAAGATACAAAGTAAATGCGGAAAGTTTTGGTAAGAGGAAATTCCAAGATCAAAACCTGAAAAGAATCGAGGAAGCTGTGCGTGATACAGGAGCTGCTTTTGGAATAGCTGCTGCCTTGGAATTCAAACAGTCTGCTTCATTCCCCAACGAAGATGAACTAAGACATTGTAAGCGGACAACTGGGTACCATGATGCAATCCTACTGTCTAAATTCAAGGAGTGGATAAATACAAGTTGTGAGGACTTGACATTCAAGTATTATTCACAGATGATAACACTGTTTGGTCCTTTACAGCAAATGTTTACCAACGCTGTTAAGTATGGAAATGGTGTTGCTAGGGAAGCCTCGTGGATGTTAATGCATCCCCTTTTCGCCCAGTCGAACAAGCGAAATTATCACACAGAGGCAATGGTCCACATATTAAACTTTGTAGCATTTTGGCCTCTTGGCACAAGAAAACTTCTCAGAAATAACTGTTCAGTTAGCTTGAATGGTAAGGTTGGACATAACATCGCTTTGGATGAGTGGGTAGAAAGCTGTATAGTGCAACCAATGAAAAACTATTCAACAGGTCAGTCTATTTAATTTTATTATCATCCGATCTAGTCCCAGATGAGCCAACTTGATCTACAGTATTGATTTTAAAAGTAACGAGAAATTCGGTTACTCGCATTACGCATCAACGGTTACTCGCATTAAATTCTTCGTTTGCCATTGTAAGGTTACAATATATTGAAAATTGTAGTCTTATAAGGATACGTTTTATATAAGGTTACATTATATTGAAAATAATAGTCTTAATAGGATGCGTTTAATATTGCGATTTGTAGTGTTACTACACTACAGTGTTGACGCTACAATTCCTCTCCATTTAGTTTATTACCCACTTATGGCAATTAGAAAATAGTGAAAACTCAAACAGACTTTTGCCTTCTATAGGTCATACTACTGTCAAGATGTTGCAGCGGCTAATGGCTAATATCGACATCATTGGTAAAACAAGGGAAGCATTTAAGTCCAGAGATGCATTCAATGTTCATTGCACAACAAAACACTGTGAGCAAGATCCCATCCCGGATCAGCTAAAGGCAGCTAATTTTATTCTGAGGAGCAGATTTCTTCAGCCAATTCCTGAAAGGAAATCTGTTGTAAAGTTTAAAGATCCAAAGATGGCATCAATATCTAGCACCAATATAGATGCCTATCACACTGGGAAGAAAAAGGTTGTTGAGAATTTTGACCGAAAACTATTTTCACTTTTTGGAATAATGAATGGGAAGAGGTTGAATGCACAGGAGGGACAAAATTCAGAAAGTGATTCAGATTAAATTACACACTTTATGGATTGACATAACCGTTAAACAGCTAATTCAATTAAGGAAATTTATTATATTTATATATTTCATGATACAAGACTTCGTTTCTAAGGTTTCCTATTTTCCATGTATAAGATCATGACAAAGCCAGGATTATGTTATTGAGAAACTTGTCACTTATTCATAATTAACCATTAAGCGCCAGTGCTCCCCCCTTGACGAATAAAATCGTCTGGCGTTAGACAGAGTAAAATACTAAAGTAGGGTGCATCAGGGTGCATCAGGGTGCAATGCGACTCAATGGGTTAACTCCAACCAAGGCTTGATCACATTCCACCTCATCCCTTTTCTTTGGGACAACCTTAATTGAATTAGCCATATGTTAACTGTACAGTATATATACCAATGGCCAGGTCCAAGCTCTAGGGTATGGCTTTAGACATATATGATTGATTTTCTCACCGAGGCGTCCGCCTTAAAAGGCTTGCATTATCAGCACAGCCGAACCACTTATCTACATATGTATTACTTATATAACTTATACACATCCTAACAACTAATTACATTTGTCCAGCCATAGCCTATCAAAGGAAAGATGCCTGTGTAACTCATTATCTATGTTTAAGTTTATTCATAAATCTGATCCTTCGCCATCACATGTGTGTTGTATTTTTGCCAAATTTACCAAAAGCAATTTCCAATTTACCCTATCGTTTGACATTACTATTAGTTACTTGGGCAAAAATACAATATGCATGTGACAGTTAAGGTCCAGATTTATGAATAAACGTTTAACAACATAGATACCGGTAATGAATTATGTTGTTATTCTAATGAGTTTTACAGCCATCTTCCCTTTGATCATAGACAATCCAGAAGACATGTCTTCTGGATTGTCTATGCTTTGATAGGCTATGGTCCAGCAGTACCTTGAAATGAAATGTTGCTAAATTGTACCTTTACCTAATATAAAGTAACAGACTGTACATGGTTACTGAAGTTATATTTTGTACCTATAAACGATGAGGTCACCTTCCTTAATCAACTCAACTTTGTTGCCACACACCAAATAAGGAGTTGTTCCTGTTTCATTGTGTCCTCTAAGCTGCTCGATCAACAAATTCTCAGAAATTAGCGTATGGAGAAAATGTTTTAGGCTAAGTTCAGTAAACACAGTTTTCCCATTTCCAAATTCAGGAATGGTATCAAATGACTTTGCCGAGATTTCCTTCCTTTTCGAACCTCGATAAACCAACATGAGTAGGTTTAAAGTAACTTTGTTGCACAAATGCTTCATGTTATTAAGGCAACTTAAAATTTCCAATGCTTCAACATTTGCCTCGGTTTTTTCCACAATGGTATTAGCCATGCAAAAGTCACACATTTTGTCACAATCAACCTGTAAACATTCACCAAAATATTTCAGTAGCTGATGCCTCCTGCATTCGGGTTTGATACAGAACTTTACCATTTCATTCAAGCTATTCAGCTTCAGAGTCCTGTGGTCACCCTCTGGTAGAGAACTTATCATTTGCAGGTGTTTTGTCCGATCTTCAAACCGAAACAAGATGCAGGATGTAGCTTGCTCACCATCTCTGCCAGCTCGGCCAAATTCTTGAGCATAACATTCAAGGGATTGTGGTATGCTGAGATGGATAATAAATCTAACATTTGGTTTGTTGATGCCCATTCCAAATGCCACTGTAGCGCACATTACAAGTGCTTTTCCATTTTGCCAAGCTTGTGCATTGTCCTTCTTCTTGTAGGCATCAAGTGCACCATGATAATATGTAGCGGTAACCCCTCTTGATTGCAAAATGTATGCCATATCTGTTGTATCACCTCGTTGTAGGCAATATACAACACCACATTGATTTTCATGTTGGGTAATGATTTTATCTGCAACTTGCTCCTTTCCATCTCCTTTCTTTAACTTTACAAAGAGGGAAATATTAGGGCGGTTACATGTTTCTCTTATCACTATTGCATCAGTAAGCTTCAAAGATGAAATTATAACTGCTTCAGTGCGGGATGTACATGTTGCTGTTAGTGCAACAATCTGACAATTTAATTCCGACAGGATACCAAGATTTGCGTATGCTGGTCTAAAGTCGAAGCCCCACAAGTCAATGCAGTGGCATTCATCAATGGTTATGTATTTAATAGTTCCTTTGGATTTCATCTTTTTGAAAACATCCATCAACTCGGAAGATGTTGCACTCTCTGGTGTCACAAACAGAAAGTTATATGGAGGCACATCTGACAGCATATGATGTATGATTACCTCTCTATCAATCTGCGATACTGTTGAATTTACATAGCACACATTAAGCCCCTTTGATCTTAAATAATCCACTTGCTCGAGCATAAGGGAGAGCAAAGGCGAAATAACAATTGTTACACCACCAGATACAATAGCTGGAACTGAGTAACAAATGGTCTTTCCCGCACCAGTGGGTAAGACAATGAGACAGTTTCTTCCTTGTAGTATAGCATCAATAACTTCTTCCTGTTTCCCTCTGAAGCTATTGTGGTTGAATATAGTGCTTAATACAGACAATTTCCTGTCTGACTCTTCATCTGACACAGCTGAATAGTTGGTTTCAAACACATTAGCCAAATGTCTGAATGTTTCTTTCTGTGGAACAGGCATTGCATACAAATGCTATGTAAAGAAAGTATACTTTAGTTTAGTTTATCTGCTGGGGTATCAGGATTGGATAAGGACGATTCTTTACAATATCAGAATATTTTTCATATTAAATTGAAATAAACTAGTGATTAATTTAAAGTGCACTAAACTATATACTAGTGGTTTTTTTTTTCATAATTGAATAATAAAAACGTCTTATAATCAATACACAACAATTAAACACATACTTTTTTGATAAAACAGCACTCAATAATAACAGCAGCCCCTTGTATATCTCCTTCCAATGTTTGCTGCGAATACCAGGCATTGAAATGAGCTTCGCCCATTAGCCACCGAACCAAGATTTTACACGGTTTGTCCTTTTCTGCGTAGTTTTTTAATCGACCTGAGTGTCTAAGGAACATTCCATACACTTTTGCGACTTCCTTCGCGTCTTTACCAAATAACTTGGTTGCATTGCATTTCTCACAATCGACGTCGAACCAATTGCCGTTTGAAACCTTCGAATAAATATATTAATATAAACATTTTGACATTAGCATATCACGATATGATAATATGGTCCACATATTAATTATTCAAGTAAGAATATATGAATAATTCACGCCCGTACCTTCGATTTCATTTCGGATAACAAAGAAATATATTTTAGTGTTTCTTGCCCGTATAAATTCTTCATTATCTGAGTAGACTTTGACAAGTCGTTCGCGACTGCTTCCTTCTTATGAATTATTCTAAAGTGTTGATTAAGTCCGCTATTTTCAAAGAATAACAACTTCTCAACACATTCATTCTCTGGACAAATGACTTTCCGTGTCTGAGAAGCATCATGGAACGGCCTGTGAAAATTAGTTAAATCACCTTCGTCTTGGCTATTTGCAGCGGACGCCATCTT